TTTAAGAAGCCACTTCTCCCAGTTTCTCAGCATTTCAGACAGTCTGGTCACAAACTTGATGACTTTAACCGCATGAAGATCCTAGTGATTGAACAGAACATTCACTGGAGTGATGCCCAGCGACAGGTTCGGGAAAGCTTTTGGATAAAGGAACTAAATGTACATCATCCAAACGGCATCAATAAAAAATACTAAGTTTTATTTTTCACTCATTTTGGGATGTAAATATACACAGTCACGTATATTTGAGTATTGAGTTTTGTTTTATATTATGATGTTCAGGATTTTGGATTAAATCAATAGACCAAAACTTACCTGTATTATTGAGCTATTTTTATACATATAATCAGTATTGTTAAAATAATTGACACTGAAGAAGGCTATTTGTTAAGCCGAAATATTTGTCAACACGATTTATTAACAACATCTTCGTATAATACCATCTTATATTAGTATCGTTGTGCAAATCGCTAGACTTATATATATATATATATATATGTAATAAACATATCTGAAAGGGTAACACATCACCAAAAGAGTAGTAAAATCATGAACAAATATTAAATATTTCAGATAACTAATATCCTTTATCGTTAAAATGTCTAATGGTTCTTTTTTTGACATGTGGTAGTCGAACTGAAATAATAATCTTGATCGTCATACAAATTATGACGAATCAATTCGCCGGTAAATTTTTCAATATTGATGCTTGAGAGGAGAAATAAATTCCTTAAAAATGTGAGAGTCCTGTACTGAAGACTAAGTTACAGTAAACAAGTCATGGTAGGGACTCATTTTATGTTTTTTCATTGATGCCCTCCGGGGAAACTGTCCTTAACTTTCTTATCAAAAAACCTTCCCGAGTAAGTCTGTCGGCCCTTGACCAACACTCGTTGAGGTCTTTGATAGTGATTATATTGTTTATTGAGAGCAGTTTTGAAGTGTCCAGGTGATCAAGGTCGTACGGGGAGGTCGGGCTTGCAGGTGTAGTCACTTCGATGACCATTCATGTGTTTGTTGAATGGCTATTCTGTTTCGCCAAAACACTGCATACCACATCGACACTGAAGGAGGTATACATCGTCTGTTACCACATGACTTGCAAAATCCTGCAGTTTAAGAGATTTTATTAGAGGAGACATCAGCTCTCAAAAATAAGTCTTTCAGACAGCTAAGACAAGAGGCTTGGGAAAGATCTTGGATACTTTTGGGTGTTTGGCAATAATCTGCCAATTAGCACGGATGAGATGGGAAAGTTTAGTAAAGGCAGGATTGTATGTTAAAATATCATCCGTGCCAATTGGCAGATTATTGCAAAACATCCAAAATAATAGAAGATCTTTCCCAAACCTCCTGCCTTAGCTTTTCGAAGACCAAAAAAAATCTGAAAGACTTATTTATGAGAGCTGATGTCTCCTCTAATAAAAGCTTTTCAACTGCAAGATGGTGCAAGTCGTGTGGTAACAGACGATGTCTGACTTGCCAACAAATAATGAATACTCAATCATTTACTGCCACTCTACTGGGTCCGTATACACTATATATTGCAAAGTAACAAGCAAAACACAGACTGTTGTATACCTTCTTCAGTGTCGATGTGGAATACAGTATGTTGGTGAGACAGAATAGCCATTCAACAAACGCATGAATGGTCATCGAAGTGACTACACTTGCAAGCCCGACCTCCCCGTATGTCGTCATTTCAGATCACCTGGACACGCCCAATCTGATCTCAAAAACCTTACCATCACTATCATAGACCACAACGAGGGTGTGTGAAGGGCCGATAGACTTGCTAGGGAATGTTTTTGGATAAGAAAGTTATGGATAGTTTCCCCAGAGGGCATCAATGAAAAAACATAAAATGAGTTCCTATCATGACTTGTTTCCTGTAACCCAGGCTTCAGTACAGGACTCTCAAAGTTTTTAGGAATTTATTCATCGTCCCAAACATCAATATTGAAAAAAATTACCGGCATATTGATTCGTGATAATTTGAATGACGATCTAGATAATTATTTCAGTTCGACTACCACGTGTCAAGATAAGAATCATTTGACTGATTGAGGATATTAGTTATCCGAAATATTTAATATTTGTTCATGATTTTACTATAGTTTTGGTGATTGTACCCTTTGAGACTTGCTTATTATATATTATATTTTGTAGTGTACTGTATCATATTTATATTATTTGTTCATGATTTTACTATAGTTTTGGTGATTTTGTACCCTTTGAAACTTGCTTATTATATATTACATTTTGAAGTTTACTGTATCATATTTATATGATTCATCGCCTCGATCGTAAGATTTGTCGTTGGCTATTATTCAGACATTTAATATATATATATTTAATTTGTTACCCGTTTTGATTTCAACCATGCAGCAACTTTTTTCTAAACAATATCAAATATTTCATATTTATTCATGTACACGTCAACTTCGAAACTGTTTGAAAAGACAACCACGGGTTAATTTAAGATTATAGGTATTATACATGTGATAACAAATATTGTTGACATAAAAAAAAAGCTCCGAACAACAATAAAAAAAAAAACATCCAGGAAAACTAGATTGAGAAACCCAAATATAAAATCCCATCAAAAATAGGGTGAACTCGGTTGCTTTTAAGAGGGTTGATAGTTGTGACTCTAAGAACAGTCTTAAATATAATTGTCTGTATTATAAACCAATTATGTCTTGAATCTTATCTTAATCATGCTTAATCTATTCAGTATTATTTTGATATCTATATACTCCTTATCCTTGGTGTATAATTCATAAGGAATACTTTCATCGCTCATCTTGTGTACAGCCTCTATTCGTCAATATACATATACGTCAATTCAGTGTGTTTTCTTTTGTATGATTTGTTCTGCATTAGTTGAAATTCTTATTGGGTTTAAAGAAAACGCCACGACAACACATTTGCCTGATAAATACAAAACTTGCATAAAGTCAACTGTATAAACTAAATCTCAAAAAGCTATACATATAGAGGGTTGGTCTAGCAATGCATATTTTAACTTTGCCACGTGCAATATATGTGCTGGTCCAACGTCAGAAAGAAACATCGTTATTAGTTTTGTCTTAAGTTATATCTTTCGCGGGGACCGTGGCTAGATATATTGTGCAGCTATAAACACTCTCGTTATTGGTGCAAATGAATATCTGAAGCTGTCTTACATAACATATATATAAATAATGTTCACAAACACAAAAGTTATATAACAGTTGTGATAAAAATTACGTGTACAACAAGTAAATGGATGTTACAAATTTTACTTGAATAGAGCACTATTTACTTTTTAATGTGAAATACTCTTATTGAATATTTGGTAAACAAAAATCTGTAGACATTCAGTTTTCTTGACGAGAATTAGGATATATATACTCAGTATGTTTCACAACTAAATAGTATTATAAAAAAAAATAATCAACTGACCTTTTGACAAATAGCTGGTGCATCTTTATTTTTTGCAGTTGTTTAGTTTATTTTTAAGAAATGAAACTGACAAATTACAGTTATTGAAAAATAATAAAACATGTAAAATGAATATACCACAAGTTGTTTTGTTGGTAGTATCAGCCATTATTGCCCAAAGACTTTTAGTTCGTTGGGTGCTATCTGTGTTGCTCTTAATTTGAATTGTTTTTTTACTGTTTCAAAAAAGTGGTCGACGATATACGAGTAAAAATCATAATCATAAAGCGATGAAAGCTGATAAACTATATAAAAAATAAACAAATAACAAATAGTCTTCAACAATTACACAGAAAATCAAAGACGGGAAACTTGAAAAATTGGTTTTCCATATGCACTCGTCATGTTGCCCCCGTATCAAGATATACTTCGATGATAAGGCACATTCTGCGATTGCATAATCGGGAAAAAAGAGGACTGATTTGAAACTACAACATTTTTAACTTTTTCATCCGTGACACAAATATTCCATAACTAAAAACAAAACGAAGATGGCATCCGTAAATTTTCAAAAGAATGACTCAAATTAACAATTTGGAAACATTGTTGAACAGTTTCTTTGTAAGCAATAACCGTCTGTCAATGAAATCTGGATAGAAAAAAAAGTAAAATAACAAAAATACCGAACTTCGAGGAAATTCAAACGGAAAGTTTATGTATAATTCCTATAAGGTCCAATAAGGTATATACACATTAAACGTTACGAACGTGAATTCTTTTCTCTATGGCTTTTATTAGGAAAAATATGAATGTGCTCCTTATGCATAATCATCTCCACCAGAGATGTGAAGAAGAAACATTGAAAATGACAACTCATTTGTTTACGGAAAGTAATTTTCAAAAAGTTGATGTTTTTCTGTATCTAAAGAAGATGCATCACCATCACAAATATATTGACCGAAACGATATGCCTGTGACCAACTCACTAGCGACATGTTTTTGTCATACTCGTTGTTTTATACCTTTAGATACCGGAATATTCGTGTTATCTGTACTTGTGCCGGTTGTATCCTGTTCTCAAACCTGACATATGCACAGACTAAGGATTCGCCTGGAGGGTGATGCATGCATATCAGATACGCTTATTCTGTCGTCGCAGCCAGTCCCGGTTCTTTATAACTGACGTCATTTGTTAGATTGTCTTTTTAAACTATTTATGAGACTTGAACATTGGTAAACTACTGTTTCCGTAATTAAACCACCACACATTGATTGTGTGTATTCCAAATCCTGAACTTTTTTCATATCTTAACATAGTGTTAATCATTTAGGAAATTTAGTTTAAATGATAGGGTTTTGACTGTATCTGATACATTTGTCAATACACCATCAGTTGTGTTGTTCAGGAATGTGGACAATTTGAGGCTATACATATTATAAACACACCTATGTTTCGCCATGAACGAATGCCAAGTTCTAGATGTGATTTTTGTGTTTGTACCTTTGCTTCATTTACTTTGATATCAACTTTTATTTTTCGTTGAATACTAGTTGAGATAACAGTAAATACATACCATATTCAGGAAGTTTGTATCTCATTTTAGAGAAAGATGTCTGGTTGGACCATAAAGTCTTCATCAGTTTTGACGTCAGAAGTTTCTACAAAACCAAAATATTAAGTTCAGCTGGCTTTTTTTTCCACTCCTTACTGAATATCATCATTCCAATAGACACATTTCTGTTGACAGGAGATTATTTTGAAGAATTTATATAATTTATATTTCGAGGTATTTATGTTATACTTAGTTTGAATTTTGTTTGACTGTACAAATATAGATTAGACTATTATCTAATTTCAATTTCACTATTCCCTATGTACTATGTTAATGTCTCACAGTGGACAATTCGTTAACGTTAGACTTGGATAGAAAAGCTAGTCATTGTGATGTTTAAAAAACAAGCAAGAAATATCAAAAGGATATTATAATTAACAATTTTTGAACTAACTGACAATGACTTGACCTAAAAAAGACGAACAACAAATAGACAAAAAATCATCACACTTGCATTCAGATAATATAAAAAAGAAAATGTGGTATACTTGCCAATAAGACAACTCTTCACAAGAGACCAAATGACACAGTAATTAACAACTATAGGTCACCGTACGGTCTTCAACAATGAGCAAAGCCCATACCGCATAGTCAGCTATAAAAGGCCCCAAAATGACAAACTTAATACAATTCAAACGAGAAAACTAACGGCCTAATTAATGTACAAAAAAATGAACGAAAAACAAATATGTAACACAGCAACAAACGCCAACCACTGAATTACAGGCTCCTGACTTGGGACAGGCACATACATACAGAAAGTGGCGGGGTTAAACATGTTAGCGGGATCCCAATCCTCCCCCTAACCTGGGACAGTGGTTGAACAGTACAACATAAGATCGAACTATAAAAATCAGTTGAAAAAGTCTTAACTCATCAGATGGATACAAATAGAAATACATCTAACAAAAACACAGAGTGGACGTGGCCGGGAACTTGTACATGTTGTACATGCCAACAACAAAAAGACACTAAGATGCCTAAATATGTATACACTACAAACCAGTAAAAGTCTGAAATGGCCTATATCTGTACTCGACTGTGCTGATCTTTACTGGACCAGTCTGAATTGGTCTGAAATTTACTTGATATTACTCGACTATAGTCTGAACCATTCTTAACAGTCTGAACTTGTACTCGACCTTTACTCGACCAGAACTTAACCATTCTATAAGTGTCTGAACCATGCTCGACCAAGGTCTGAACCACATTTGACCAAGTCTGAACCATTCTCGACCTAGTCTGAACCATACTCGGCCTAGTCTTAACCACACTCGACCAAGTCTTAACCAACCTAGACCTATTGTTGTATGTATCTATTGTATTTCATCAATTTAGGAACTATTTTTGAGTTATTTCCCATGGCTTAGAAATTTGAACAACAATTTGATTTCCAAAATGTATTTAATATAATATAAAAAATACTAGAACTTCCTATCATTATTCAAATATCTTAAATGTTATTCAAACTTCTTGAATGGTTCAGATATATTTTATGGTTACTAGAAAATTTTCAACATTAGCATAAGCCTGGTAAAAACTTAGGTAAACTGACAGAAGTCACAAATTTGTTAGGACAAAAAGTCACAAGACAAAAATACTTTTTTTTTTAAAATTTTTAATATATAAGAGAAAGATCTTGTAGTAATTATTTTTTTTACATTTATAAATGTTACAGTTAAGGAAATTGTTCAAGCGTTGTTAAATGAAGATTTATCAAATTTAAATCATGATAAGGATATATTTCTCTGCACCATGAAGTCATTTTAAAAATACCAAGCAACTTTGACAACTTGTTTTCTTAACAATTATTTGGTCATTATTGACTTTTTTAGAATACATTTTGTTTACAAAGTTGCTTAATATATTATAGTTCAAGATAGAACAAACAGGTTTTTAAAAGTAAGCGTTTTCTTCTTTAAAGAAAAAAATAATCTTGAACAGAATTGTGACCTTTTGTCATATGACTTTTTGTCTGTAACTTTTTGTCTTTTGAATTTCTGTCGTACATTCTAAATGTATGGTGTCAGTCTAGTTTAGTAAATAACACAGTTAACCTTTTTTTTTGTTTATAAAGCAAACTAATAAATTTAAAAAATGAAGCCCTTGTTTTGTAACACTAAGAATTTAATTTTATAGAACTTCCATAGCAATCCTTGAAAACCTTTTAAAAAAGAAATTGTGTTCCAAAGCTTCATAAAAAATTTAGGTTGATCACTTAAATTTTGTCAAAATTAAAGACATGGCATACAATAAGCACCTTAATAAGGTTTAATTTACCTCAGTAGAGATCATTTTGCAGGTAAAAATAATATTCTATTTTTTCTTTAAACTCGTGTATTGTTTTTCTTGTGAAGTCAAAAGGCCGTGTAGTTTAAATTTTACAGGATGTTGTTTAAAATTTATTACACTCTGACCAGGTGTGGTTTTTTTTTCAATAAGTGGGCCCCAAGCAGGAGGTATTACTTTATAGTTTACCCCTGATCAGAAGAACACTTTTAATCATTTCTTAACTTTATGCCAAATTATATTATGAAGAGATAAATTTCTGATATAAGGTTAACCAATTTCAGTGATTTTGTTGACTGTTATCAGGTAAGTTAAAAAAGATAGTTATATATCTATTGTATGTAACCATGAAACCTAATTTGGTTTTTATTTAAGAATTTCTATAGGTGAAATAACCATGATTAATTTTTGTTAAAAAAAAATACATGGCAAACAAAAAGCACCTTAATAAGGTTTTATTACCCCCAGTACACACGGTACAGGTGTGTTTTTCAGTCTTTTTTTTTACCAAAACTCAGACTTAAAATTTAGATAATTTGACTATCTAGATTTGATAAATGTGATAATTATGTAAGGGTGTAAACATCTGTAAACATATCTTTACTTTATTGTGGCAGTTGTCATATCAGTTGAAAAGATAGTTATATAAACATTTAAAATTAAAAAAAAGTAGAGTTTATTGGTCAGGTATGGTTCAGACTGGTCGAGTATTGTTCAGACCTTTCGTCGAGTATGGTTCAGACTGAAAAAAATAGGTACAGGTCGAGAATGAGTTAAGACTGTTTCAGACTGGTCGAGTAATAATTTAGATTTTTTTCAATGGCAAAGATAAGGGTCAAGTACAAATTAGTACAGTCGAGTATGGTTGAGATTTGGGTCGATTAATATCAAGTACAATTCAGACCAATTCAGATTGGTCAAGAAAAATCAGTACAGTCGAGTTCAGTTATAGGCCATTTCAGACTTTTACTGGTTTGTAGTGATATAATATCTTAAATAATATAAAATCAACTTTGATTCTGTAAATTAAAATAAATCTGAAGAACTAATGCATAAATGTAAAATAATTATTCCAATTGTAATATTATTCGTCTTTGATTTAAATTATAGCATAAAGGAAAGGAAAGGATATTGTGTATTGAGTAAATTTCTTAAAATTCACACCAAATTTGAAGGAACGTTGTATTATTGCTTAAGGATCTCTCTCTCTCTCTCTCTCTCTCTCTCTCTCTCTCTCTCTCGCGTCAATGTTTATCTTCGGGTATATTTGATAATATATATGTGTATTGAAGAGTTTGAATGTTTGGGTTGATTTGTAAGGGAAGTAACATTGTAACTCCTTTTATTTATATTATGCTAATTAATATTGTTGAAGTTTCCCTTATCATTCTTAAATCATAAGATATCTCACCTCTTCATAGATGTATTCAAGAGATCTCTGATTAAAAACCCTTGTCATATTCTGTTTAGAAATTGTCCAATCGCCCTTTTTCAAAAGGAACATCGATAATGCAGTATGATACTCCTCCTTAAATGTAAGTCATTTTGTCATGCCATCAGCAAATATTAAAATATTGAGCATTTACACAGTTAACATTAACAGTTATTAAACTAGAATTTATTATTTGACTATGTTCAATAAATATCAAATTAGGGTTGCATGATACAGATACTATATAAAATACAAGTAGAGCAATCAAATTTATAATTCAGGCAAATACAAACACCATTGATTTCAAAAAGAAACATCGAAATGCAAAACTGCAATTGTTCCTTAAATAAAGTACATATACATTTCTTTAATTGATTACAAGAAGATAAAACAATTGACATATCTTTTATTCTAATTCTAAACGCGCGCCTTTCTTAAAAAATTATAAGCTTGATTTCTTTATTACGTTTGTATTCTTTCAACTAAACAGGTCTGGTTCTATTTCGAGTACAAGCGATTCCCGAAGTTTTTGTTTGTAACCATGCATTGTCTTATTAATGGATTTTTATATAAATATAGAATATTGAACATCAGATAAGCTACTGTTGCCTTAATATGTTCTGTTATTCGTATGAGGTAGATATCTCAGGATTAAAGAAAAAAAGCGAGCATTATTCTTTTGTTCAATTATGAGTTTACGAATGCGAATACAAATTTGTCTTTCTTGCCGTAAACAACAGGAGGATTGAAACTTGAGGAGTAAAAACTGCTTTTCAATCAAGAGTACATGAGTTCGAAAATGCATTATTTAAAGGGGGTCAGTATTACCTTTTTTTAAATTGAAGTCTTATATGTAGACGTCGATTATGTTTCACAGAAAACTAAGCAACACGTACTGATAATTGATAGATTAGAGGTAGTCTGCTCTATGGTCGGGTTGTTGTCTCTTTGACACATTCCCCATTTCCATTCTAAATTTTATTAAGGTTATAGAACAAAAACAAAACAAAGGACAAGGGATATCCATCCATGATACACAATCAGTTTATGCGCACCAAAATCTCAAAAAGCAAAGGAACAGCACTTTTATTGTTGTCCTTAATCTCAGTCAAAGTGAGGCTTTGAACATGGAGCAACACAACTCACTTCACTGCAAGTTTAAGACGGCCCTTAGCAATGGTTATTCCTTGCAAACTGATGATGCCACAACTGTGAATTGAAGAACAAAGCCATAGACTTTTATTAATATAAAAGATATGGCAAATAAATCAAACAGGTACTGTCATCATTGAGCCCGACAATCACACTGAAGCGTGTAAACAAAACAATCATTTATACAACTATTTACTTAGATTGTTAAGGCTATGTGTTTGATCCGTAGTGCTCTATCTTTAGTTGCCTGTTTTTTTTTGTTTTTTTTACAGTTTTTTGTCCATTCATGTTTTAATACACATAAATATTCGAATCTGATCATTTATATTTTGTTATGGTACTATTTATCTTTATTCTATGTATTATCAACATCAGATTTGTTAATTACTTTTGTAATTTTGCATTGTATGTTTATTTATGTTGTATACTAAGTTATGGTGATTGATTAATGGTTATTGCTTAAGTTTTAATACAGTGGTTCACAAGGTTTAACGACAAAAATATTAAAAGAAATAATTGACAAGTAATCGAGTAAAGAAATTAACCGCATTAGGTCAGGGGTTCTGTTCATACTGCTAAACAACTTATTTTAAGATAAATGGTTCTTTAAGTTTTATTTTAGTAAATTGAACTGCCGATGACATCTAAATAGTTGTCGTGGATATGAATGGAACCTCACTCGGAAAAATGTTATTTTGAAATACATATTCAATTGAGATACTCAATGGTTAACATTTATTTAATTGCCAAAAAACGTTTTTGAAAACATTGTCAAAGTTTGTATAACAATTAGACCAATATGGGACTTACATTCAGCTTCAACATATGACCCATTGGTTTTTTTTAACATTATTCATTTTGAAGATTTATTAAAATGAAATCTATATAACTTCTCTTTTCTTTAGAAGTCAACTTCGTACTACTTTTACGGGATACCTTATATATAATATAATAATGTGAAAAGGGTAAAAAGATGAATTCATAATACTACATTAAATGCAACTTCAAACATCACATATTTCATAATTTTGTAAATATGTTATGCTGTCACTGAAGGTAGACATGTATCTAAGTGAAATTTTGAAAAATTACAAAAAAAAAAAAAAAACATTTATCTTTAATGTATGCAACTTACGTAATGCTCTTTAGTCGATTTGACTTCTTTCAAACACACTATAAATATCACATATAGACACTTAAATATCATTACACACTCAAAGATGAAATCAAATAATACACGACGTACTAATCTACATGTAGTAGTACTTGTCATTAATGAAAGTTCGTACAAATTCAACAAGAACTAATGAATTAAGCCTTAACATGTTTAACTTCCAGATTAAAACATCAAGCGGAAACATCCAACAGATTTACATTTCAAAGTCAACAGATTCTAGAATGACCTTTTTTTTGTCTGATTTTTTTTAAATTCGAATCGCGGCCTTAATTTCTTGAACTAATAACTGTTTTTATTATTGTACTTAACAGTCTGAATACTATCCAGATATAGTATTTACCACCTTTTTTTTGAGTGTTAACAGTGTCTGAGTTTATCTTCATGTTTGCATTCATATCAATTGTTTAACATTCAACATCAAAATTTCCCATACTCAATTGAAAGATTGACGACTTTTTCTGATAAAACTGTGCTTTTTTTTTTACAAAAACCATCAATCTAAGATGCACAGTGCTTGTTTAATATCCCACACACATCATATTTTGTAAACAACCTGGTCCTTCACCTTTAAATATTAAAATGGCCGTCTTATCTGTACAGAAGTATGGCCACGAAGTGCCAATATTGGCCCTGTGAGGTGACAAAAAAAAGAGAATTAAGGTGGATCCTTTATAGCTAAAATATATTTCTGTGAAAAGGAATTTAATTTTGTTTAAATTAACACTTTAGATATGTTGCACTGTCTCTTAATTATTATTTAAACCTACCCCCGACTATCAAATGGCAGATGAGACTAACAAGGTCACCTCGAAACTCGCTAGGATCGCAAATGTTATCTAACATTTCATCTGGTTGTGTCTTTTTATGTACTTGCCATGGCTTTGTTATGTCTGCTGTATATTCTACGCCTCCCTCATCATTATCATCTGTAGACCATACAATACTTACATCCTTGGTGTTTTTCTAGTGGATAAAAGAAATGTTTATTTTATAAATATCATGCAGTAGGCTATCTGTAAGAGAGTTAGCACAACAATCTTTATTCTGTTAAATACAATCGCTTAAGAAATTTGAAATCGTTTTTTTGAAGTTTTTTTTTCTCTTTTTACATTTGAACACATGAAAGGTATAACATTGGTTTATCAGTTTTATGTTTTGGCATAACCATGTCAAAAATGGAGATCAATTTAATGTTAATTTTTGTTGACTTCGTACTTGATTTTGCCTTTCAATTTTCTTGATTCAAGCGTCCCTGATGACTCCTTCGGAGACGAAAACGCGTCTAGCGTACACAATCATAAGCCTGGTATCTTTGTTATAATTGTAATATAACTGAGCATGGATGTGCAAGGCTAGTTATTCATGCATAATTGGAAATGTTTAGTATCTGTCGACACACCTGGTCTCGCTCATTGTAGAGAAATTTCTTAAGAGTAAAACGTTGAATGAACAATAGAACAAAATACCCATTTCTCGAAACAAACGTGTTCACAAAACATTTACGTCAATTGGGTATTCGTGTCCAAAAGTATCACAAATCCCCAAAAAATATGTTCATGCATTAGTCTTCAATAAACCATTAATTATATTTGTGAATTTTGACTTGCATTTTTGGACTTGAGCTTTAAACTTCTTGCAATAAGTTAGAAATGCATTAGCTACCAAATTAGCCTTGTTTTGAAATATTGTCATTATTACGTAGATTGTGCGCAACAATTGTATCCGAATGGATATACTACTGTCAGATGTCGATTAAGCAGATGTTTTGGTGCCAAATATCTTCTTGGTAAGGGTGTTCCTAATATTTATGTTTTTCCAAAATTTATGTGAACATTGTCATTTTAAGTCAGATAAGTCAATTTTCGACATGTCTATGACAGCATAGTGACATCACAAGTAATCTTTCTACGCTAAAATGTCCAGATTTTTTTACCCTGTTCATTTATCAATAAAATTAACATACTTTTGGAAGGCTTGAGTCTTTTTACTTTTTTTTGCAATTGCAAGTGCCAAATATAAGCTCTTTGTTGGTAAGAAACAATTTACCTTTATGCATATGAGAGGAATGATTCTTTTATACTGTTTTGTTTTCATCTCACTATTGCGTAAATATATGATGACCGGCAATAATTCCTTTCCTATGGCCACTATGTACCAACACAAAAACAAAATATTACTTGAAATACAGCAAGAATAGAGCGACATTCATTTTTATCGGCGTACAGCTGAGCTACTGGGCTTGGAATAGTCTATTGAGGTACAACCCAACAGCTGAAGTAATCAATCCAGTAGTAGTTATATATTACTTCATTTGAACAAACTTATTCTTAAAGGTTACCAATTCAACACGGTAATTAAATATTTGAATATTAGTCTTATTGGTATATATATATTTATTTTGTTAACAATAAATCAAAACCATATTATTTATTATTATTATACACATATGCACATTCATAGTTCTACAATTTGATGATACCTATATTTTGGCATTGCACGAGGTTATGTTTATCTCTGACTGTTTATGACGTCTTAATACTAAATCCATTGAATGTTAGATGTTTACTGATTGACATTGTAGTCTTAGATACATGATATCTTTTATCAATTATCATTGGTTTTGAACTAGCTGTCAGTAACGACGAGTACTCCAGGTCTGTTCTGTCTGTCTTTTTTGTTGGGAGGGATGTAAAAAATCCCGCACACGTCAACCTAATGACTTCAACCCTTTTAAACTGTATTTTAGTGGTTGTCGGTGGTTCATGTCTGTCATATTTGTTTGTAGTAAATTGTTTTCTTATAAATTATGCTGTAAATTTTTTCAATTGAATTCATTCATATGGTATAGGTTTTTCTCATTTTCGAAGGCCGTACTGTTGCATATAATTGCTTACATCCAATTTAAGTGAACTTTGGTGGAGAGTTGTCTGATAAGCAATCAAACCACACCTTTTTCTGTTTCTATCATACAACGATATATTTTTACTGCTAAATGCACCAGATATGCATTCCTTGTTTTTCACTAATATTTTAGGCCAACATATTGGTAAATCAATCATTAAATACAAAAGTTGAAAAGTCAATTTAACTGAACAGACCAAAAGTAAAGCAAAGATCAGTTTAAGAAATCAGTTTATACATGACTGGGCGCTGGCTGCGCTTTTTGTGTTTTTTTATGTTTTAAGAGAGGCAGACGATACAAAGGGGAAAATCAATAATTCTAAGATGAAAAAAAAAAATACTAGAATTAAACAAAAAAAAAAATAAATATCGAAAACCCTACTTAGAAAATATCGGACACAGTACCACAAAACCAACTATCATCAGAAGCTGACATGAGGTGCTCTATTAATGGCACCGTCACACGCCATTGTATTGATTCGATGAGGTCATCATCTTGGGATAAAATTTAAGAACGGTAAATGAGAACGAAAATCAGATTATGTGTGTGGTCAACTATGACACATGTATTGTATAACATGAATCGAAACAGTTTCCCTAAAAATGTCGAAAGGCTAACATCAGTGTTATCAGTAGGTAACATTTTGTTCAAAAGCTTCTATCTCAATAGAAACCTTCTATCGAAGAATTGATATAAAAACACAAGCTCTTTGATAACATTAATTCGGAGATGTATATTATATAATCAGGCACTGCCTGGGTTTGACATATTTTAAATGAGACACAAATCATTGGAAATCATTAATTCTTTTTTCCTTAAAGTTGCGTTTTTAAGTATATAAATGTTTCCTTTATATAGAATATTTTGTAAATGTATTTTTCTTATAATCTCTAATAAAGAGTTTCTTTGCAAATAAAGTAGTTACTCTTTAGTTTACGTACATGCTGCTATTGCCTTGAAGTTATATATGTCATCCTCAATGTTTTTGTCTTCCAAATCAAATCTATTGAATCCTTCCTGGAAAAAAAAATATATAATATTGCTACATATAGGTGTTATCACTTATACAACCATTGTTTTTCCCCTATAAGCCTTTATTAAATTTGCACTTTTCAAAAAATTGTGAAGAATTTATCTTTTTAATGAAAGAAATCCTTTGCATGAGTAAAGTTTTACCCTGTCTAGTACTACGGACAACATTTCACATAACATTTCATTACATATAAGATAAAAACCATCACTGGATGTTAACCAATCAAATTTACACCCCTTTCTTTCCTTTTTGCAAGCTTTAGTAACCATGTAACCTCAAGTTTAAAAAATATTTTATAGAAACACCAAATAAAAAAAAATGGTGCTGTGAAACACCCAATATATCAGTTTATGACTCACAAATTGTTTACTGCAATGAAATGTAGGATTAATTTCCTACAACTGTCAAATTCAAGGGAATATTTTTATTCGACCCTTTTTCGTATGCAACCGGATGTGATGTACTATGCTTTGGTGGTATTACACCTAAAGAAGACTTTTTTGATGAAAAAAAAATGAATGTGATTTTTTTTCTTTGTAATACTGGTTGTCAAGTTATGCATAATCAGTTCAATAGTTTAAGAAAAATCTAGTATAATGTAAGACGACATCTACAGCGATTCGACCAAAATTTTTTTTTGGCAAAATCAAAACCAAGCCGCATCATGATAGAATATAGTGTGGACCTATCAATTATCAAATGTTTATCTCATCTGCTTACAATCAGTTGAATATGATACAAAAGATGACTCTAAGATGACAAATACCACTAATGCACCTCTTTGTCTTTAATATAAGGTCCCCTTTTGGACCATTTATACCTCTCATTTCCTCAAAATTTCAACTTGTGTAGGCCAATAAATCAAAGTTTTGGGGTAACTTTCACTCATCTATGCACGAACTCTGATAATAAATGAATAATCTAAGTATTCAAGCTGAATGAACTATCCTGAAAAAAGTTTACTGACTTAATGAAGGTTTCAATAAATACTTAGTACGTAAAACTTAAATTTACGTCGCACTCCAGAGAGGGACATTATAGTGAATATTTTTCTGTTTCTGCTTCAAAAACAATTTCATTTACTTATAACTGTATATTTAATAAAGTATTACTAAGGAAAATGTTTTCTATTATAAATAAATAAAAAAAAAAACAACTAGGAGAAAAAGTAAAAAGAAACACCATAAAACACTGAGTATGGCTTCCTCTGTCTACTAATATTCACGGTAGAGTCCTATTTCAAGGCAATTTTCTAATAAACATGATAAAATGTGCTTTGGAGACTCAATCCACTCAAAATATTTCATTTTTGCAATATTTCAATAAATAGCATGAAATTTTAACAAATGAGAGTACATAAAAGGTCAAAGGTGCATATGCAGCTTCCCATACCATTGTTTTCCCCTATTAGTCTAGAGGGTCAAATTCTCTGCACGTTAAACATCTACTCCGATAAATCTCGAAGGGTTCCGTTTCCGGAATGTTACAATGTATAAAATACAAGGGTATACCACTATCAATATCACCTTATTCTCCAGTGACAGTAAAAACTGTCCGCAAAGCATCCAATTCGTTTACGTCTTGCATATGCATTTAATTATAACCACCGGACTTTGCGAATATTGAATCAATCAGTTTGCAAAATGTTTTACCTTTCTAAATTATTTCAACACTGCTATTTTGTAAGTTTGGCAATCTTGCGTTACAGAATAAAAATCTTCTGGTTAATATTAAGTCTTTAAAAAAATAGTATAGACACATGTAAACGAAACGTACCTTAATCTGAGGTGTGTTGGTATGATTTGCAACTACACTGTGCAACAAAACGGTTTGTCCTATGATATGACAAGGAATCTTTGTCTTTTCTGTAAAATCATTACACAAAGAATTATTTGCTTTGAAAACACTCTGAATATAAGATACATTGTGCATGAGCATTTGTAGGAAAAAAGAAAGTACATACGTTTCTGTGTTAAGTCTAATCGTGTTCAATTAGGAGTAATAACTTTGTAAACATACAATATAAAGTGTTTACAGTATTAAACGAATGGCCATAATAGAATAAATTCTAACCGTCTTAGACAATTATCAAATTGAAAATATATACACATTACCATATGCTTGAATTTCTAAATGAATCACAACACGAGATGTCAACAAGATATCGTTCTATACAATCAAGCAGTAGTACATACAGTTTGAGTGCATTGGCAGTGTTAAATTTAATACCCCTTAAATAGTGTCACAATAAAAGTAATAGTTTTGGTCAACATTTTAAGATATATTTATTCAATTTATAATCGAAAAATATAGACATATTGAGTCACTTAACGTCTAAGAAATTCAGTACTGAAACCTACAATCTGAACACTCTCAAAAACATAGCAATACTAACTTTGCCACTAACTGTGCATTTTTGAAATTGGCTTGAAAGTGAATATCAATAGGATTACAACTGTGACTTTAAATTCGTCGGATTTACTGAGTACATCCGTAAGTCACCGATCAGTCAACAACAACAGGTCGATGACCAATCATTAATCAGTAAGATTAAATAAGAATAAGCCATAATCTAAAATAAAATAAACAATTGGCACTCATACCACATCTTCTTATATCTAAGTTAGGTATTATCTTAGTCAAGTTTCCAACATTGCTTTTGTGTGACGTCATTTAAAAAATGATAATCCATTATCCTATTAATTTCTTTAAAATGTATTAATTAAAACTATGTTAAATTGTCTGCTACATTTGAAAACTCCTGCATACACTGACTTGCAAATTCAGTTATCTGTTCAATAAGTGATATTTTGCTAACATCCACTGCGTCCTCATTTCGACCTTCGAATACTAGATACAAAGGTGGTATTAACGTCAGTTCCTTTTTTCGTGCTCTCTCCTATAAATAAAAACTTACATCTGTTAATGCAAATCGAAAAGATAAAATTTATATAAATAGCCAACGATTTGAATATTAATATTATACTATGAACACACGTTTATCATTTGTGCTCTGGAACAGGTTCAAGCTATCATTGGTGTATACGCTCCTATGTTGTAATTGATCAAACTGCATATAACATCGATTTATGCAATAAGGATAAACATGTCACTTTCTTATACTGCTGAAATGCCATATTGATCATTCTTTCAAAGGTTAATGATTAGCTATTTTGCACCACAAATTTACGGTTGATTCATATTCCATTTATCTGACAGCTTATGCTTATCTTAAATACTTTTTCTGGAAATTTCGTTTTAGTCTCGAAATCGTGATTCCCACTCTTTGGTATGATTTGAAAGAAAGTTTTAATGTTGTAATTATTTAATTTAAAAATAAATAGGCTGTTTTCAATAAATGAAATGAAATGTATAAAAAAAGGACAAACACTTAAAATTTATTTTAGGAGGTGTTGAAATAAAATGTGAAAATGAAGTTAAACTTTTAGCAGCTACATTAGAGTTTAAACTAAATTTTAATAACAATGTCTCTATAGTATGTCAAAAAGCTTCTAAGCAGATTAAAGTTAAAATGAGAATTGGTAAACACCTAACAAACCTTGAAAATATAACAATTTAGTTTTCTTCATTATCTCCAACTTCGACTACTGCGCCCTAATTTGAAACTTTGGTGGGGAGGTAAATACTAAAAAGATTGCGAAAATTCAAAAAGAACTCTCAGATGTATTCATAAAGACGTTTCAGCAAATCAAAATTACCATCTTTAAAAATTAGAAGAATGAGATTATTGGCTATTGTTTTTTTCTAAATTAGCAAAAAAGAGTGTCATGTTTATCTTTATGGTTTTGTTAACGTTAAGGAAATGTCTTAATATATTAAATACAAGGATACTGCAGACCTACCACCTGTGAAAACAGCTGCATTGTACCTACAATCCTTAAGGTATGTTGGGCTAAACTTTGAAATAAGCTACCAGATGAGCTGCGTAAGCAAATATCTTTTAATCAATTAAAGATCTTATTAAATTCTTGTTCTGCTTATGCCAATGTTTCGCCTGCAAAACAAAATCATCTTAGATACCAGAATTAAAATGTTGTAGGCCAGATGCGAGTGTATTCCACAATAGACTCATCAGTAAAACCAGTTAATTCTGTGAGCTTTTTTTAATTGTATGCTTTGTTTTTTCAGCATGGCAAATGTTTTTGTTAACTTAAAAGAGGGACGAAAGATACCAGAGGGACATTCAAATTCATATGTCGAAAGAAAACAGACAACGCCATGGCTAAAAAAGAAAAAAAGACTAAGAGACAAACAATAGTACACAAAACACAACATAGAAAACTAAAGACTGAGCAACACGAACCCCACCAAAAACTTGGGGTGATATCAGGCTCTCCGGAAGTGTAAGCAGATCCTACTCCACATGTGGCACCCGTCGTGTTGCTCATGCTATTAAATGTTTTAACCCGGTAATAAATCTAATTCGCTAGGTCACATTCGGGAAAAGGTACGGGATTGTAGTCACGACATTAGGAACATATCCGTTATCATCTGTGAAACGGATATTCCCTAACGGTCAACCAACTCGTGGTGGCGTCCGTAAAACTTACGAAGGGATGACTTCAACTTGGTTTAATAGCTTCCTTGTGAGCAGAAACCCTCTATCAAGGAAATCATCATACGAAATACAAGTCCGGGAATATCGTATCAACTGGGAGATATGTACTACGTATGCAGGCGCTGCAGGAATTTTGCTACGTAGAAATGGAAAGTTCACAACTGGGAAGCTGAAATCATCTTTTTTGTCGTAAAGTTTTGTTTTCAACTGACCTTCAATGTCAATTTCTAGATGTAAGTTAAGATATGAGGCAAACTGAACTATATCTCTTGTATCCTTTATCTCAAGTTCGATGGGATAGATTCGTTCAACATAGTCACCAAATTTTGATTTATTTCGTGTTTCCATCTTTTGCTAAAACTAGTTACTTTACTTATCTCTATGTGCTTTTCTCTGTTGCAAACCCTTTTACATTTTCTTTTGTGTTTGTACCACATACGTGCATGCTCCAGAATGTGTGTGTTTAAGCTGCTTAATAGAACGTTCGTGTTTTAAGTATGCATACTATGAACTCTTGCTTGGTTTATAGAATTGTATGAGTCCATGACTCATTTGACTTGAAATTAACCCAAAATGTTTTGTTTGTTATGCTTACCGTTCGTCGGTTTTAAAAGGTCTTCAGAGCTTATGTTTGTAATTTTATTGAATATACCGACCTTTAAATATAGCTTTATGTATGATGATTTTTTATGATATCTTTTTTTTGTATGTATTTGTTATATAAGAAGATGTGGTATGAGTGCCAATGAGACAACTCTCCATCCAAGTCAAAATTTATAAAAGTAAACCATTATATGCCAAAGTACGGTCTTTAACACGGAGCCTTGGCTCACAACAAACAGCAAGCTATAAAGGGGCCCCAAAAATTACTAGTGTAAAACCATTCAAACGGGAAAACCAACGGTCTAATCTATATAAAAAAAGAGAAACGAGAAACACATATGAACCACATCAACAAACGACAATTACTGAACATCAGATTCCTGACTTAGGACAGGTGCAAACATTTGCAGCGGGTTTAAACGTTTTTATGGTACAAAACCTTCACCCTTATCTGAAACAATAGTGTAACATCACAACATAGAAATACACACTATAAAATATAAATTGAAATGGCTTAACTCAATCAAAAGACATATTAACACCAGTGAACATACACTGAACATTTAAATTTGATCTATGATACAAAGTAAATACAAAATAAATAAACTAAGGGAAGAATAATAAAAGTAACATGTAATACCGCTGTGAAATGTTAAACAATTGGTTGTTTATGGCATTTGAGCCAGTTAAAATATTGTATTCATCAGTACTCGACCATTTTAATTTTTACTATAATGACCTCGCTTTTTAAAGGCAGATGTCAAACGTTACATGTTACCATTTATTTAAGCCATGAAGATACATTAAAAATGTAATAACAATGTATACTTCGTCGGATGTCAAAGCTCAATGTACTAGTATGTGAAATAAATTGTTTTTCTTAAAAAAAAAACAATTCACGTAAAAATTTGTTATTCATAAATACACACATTCATATAATTCTTATAGATGCTATTCTCCTTTTTTATCTATTGTAAATTAACTTGTTTCATAATTTATAGAATAATTTTTTCATTGAAACATTTATGTAGTTCATCCTTCAAGGTTACCATGTTATATTTGAGTGATTGAAACAAATAATAGTTTACAAAATACCTCAGCCTCCAAATTGTTTGAAGAAGTCGCTCCCGGCAGTAGTTTACTGGATTCAGCCATACTATGATCTGATACTAAAAAGGAAAAACAGATAATGAATGAAATTCATGTCCAGATATTTAAAAGATTTGTTAACAAAAGCTACAACCTTATTTTGATAGCTGTGAACTATAATATTTTTAAAGCTTGCACTTTCAATCTTGATTAACAAAGTCTTAAGCAAGGAATACCATGGACATTGTTTCAGTTTGGAATAACTACCTGACATACTTCATTGTACTTTTTTAGAACCTGTAAGATACAAAATATTGTATGGCAAATGGAGATCCATTAACATACTCTTGGGGACTCTTCTTTTATATCATTCAATTAAGATTGGCAGGTACAAAAATATATGATGTTTGGGGATCTCAGCAAGTTGCAAAATAATATTTTCCTTCTCAAATGAAAGTAAAATGACTTTTCGGACACATAATATGTCATTTACTGCATCTTGCCATGCCAAAAAAGAAAATATATGGTTTGTTGAAGAGAATCTTAACAAGTTTAAATATATTTAAACATTCCTTTCAAATAGCAGGAATCGGGGACGACCCCAAAGTCCTAGCATATATTTCATTTCATTTGTGTTGTCATATTGAAAATTTTACTATTATATTTTTTGTACTTTTGAATATAAAAATCGAGGACAGACTTGAAGCCCATTAAACACAAGCAAATTTTTCAAATGTAAGTAAATTATTATGTCAAATGTCATGAAGACATCGCAATAAAATGTATGAAAAGATACAAGTGTATGATGGAAAAAATTTCGCAAAAACATAATGTGCAAACGAAGGACCTATAAAACATTTTGATAATTGTTTCACATATATTTTCTCGAAATATTTTCAAAACGTTTTAAAAACATCATGAACCTTAGATAATGTCATAAAATGTGTTCTGGATAGTTTTCTTCAAAGTGCCTGCAAATTGTTTTTAGAAGATGATTTTAGTCGATTTTTATAACATAACAAACAAAATGTTATATACTTTAAATTATGTTTTCAGCTTTTTAATATTACACATCATAAGTTGATTAGATACACTGTTATTCATTCAGTATACAACCAATGGTACATCAGTTGTTCTGCTAAGTTTATGACGATTCACAACTCCAGTATCCGAAAACAGAAAGTACATACAAATCTTGAGACATCCAGAACTGCACACACAATCATCATGTTCAAGCCGCTACCCAAATATGAAGTCATTGGGGTCACCAGTATTACAGGTAGAAGTCATTAAAAATGTGTGTTCATTCAACATACTTAAATATCAGTAAACAGGAAATATGTATATGACAGATACGAAAAATTCTCACACATCACAGTTCATTGCTATCAATCAGGTCATGGTAAAACTTCCGAAGAAGGGCAATTTAAGCATTTGTGACCACTATAGAGGAATAATGCTACTATCAGTTCCAGGGAGTTTTAAATAGAGTTATGTTAAATCGACTCAAAAATGCAATATATGAAAAGCTTTGTGACAACCAAGTTGGATTTACACAAAACTGATCATGTGCAGACCAAATAGCAACTTTACGCATCATCCTCGAAAATTCACAAGAGTTCAATTCATCACTCTATTCAGTTTTTGCCGACTTTGCCAAAGCCTTTGACAGCTTAGATAGATATGTGTTGTGGCAGTTGATGAGACACTATGGCATTCCTAAAAAAATTATTACCATCATCAGAAACACCTATAAAGGAATTCTGAGCAAGATCATCCATGAAGGTCAATTAACAGAGGTCTTTGATATAACAACTGGGGTAAGACACGGCTGTATCCTTTCACCTATGTCATTCCTTCTGGCGGTCGACTGGATCATGAAGCAAGCCCAGACGACAGAAGAAACGGTCTCCAATGGACCATGTTCACACAGCTGGATGACCTAGACTTTGCCGCTGGCATTGCCTTGCAGTCCAACTACCACCAACAAATGCAGGACAAACTAGATGTGCTTTGCTCATTGTTGAAGGCCGTATGGTGACCTATAGCTGTTAATTTCTGTGTCATTTAGTCTCTTGAGGAGAGTTGTCTCATTGGCAATCATACCACATCTTCTTTTTTATAGCACAGGTTGAAAAGAAAGCTGCAGAAACAGGCCTTTCTCTCAATCACGAAAAGACCAAGGTTTTAAAGTCAAACACAAGGTCCCTAGCAAGATGGTTAACATCCAAGCTTTAGAAGAAGTGGATTCCTTTACATACCTTGGAAGCGTAGTGGACAATCTTGGCGGCTCAGCTAAAGATATAAAAATCAGAAATGGCTAGGCTAGAACTGCATTTACTATGATGGGATCAACTTGGAAAGCATGAAACATCACTCTAAAGAACAAAATATGCTTGTTCAATTCAAATGTAAAAACCATACTCTTATATGGAGCTGAGACTTAGAAAACAAAAAAAAACCTGCTTCAAAAACTTCAGGTCTTTATCAACAACTGGTCTCAGGCGAATCCTTAACATCAGGTGGCCTGAGAAAATATCAAACCAAGATCTGTAGGAAAAGACCAACCAATCCCCAGTTGATGAAGAGTTAAAAGAGAGAAAGTGGCGATGGATAGGGCACACACTGAGGAAGCCAAAGAACAGCATTACAAGGCAAACCTTACAGTAGAACCCACAAGGAAAGCGTGACAGGGGCAGACCAAGATACACCTGGAGAAGAAACGTTGCAGCTGAGATGGAGAAAGAAGGATACAAGTGGCATGATTGGGATAGGCTAGCAAAAAACAAAAGAAGGTCGAGAAATATCGGTAGTGTTCTATGCTCCACCAAGGGGCAACAGGATTAAGCAAACGGTATAGCTGAAACTATGATTTAAGCAGGGAATTTACTGATAAAGGGTCGTCAAATCGGTTACTTATTCCTTATTCCTTATTTATTCCTGATTCCTTATTCCCTATTTGTTACTTATTCCTTATTTGTCCTTTCGGTCAGGTCAGCTAAAAATGAAGTTCAACAAAACCTTAAAGCTAAACTTAAAAATAACAATGTTCGTACTTACATTTACTACTTGTTCATTAGTTTTGCCAGTCACAAGGATAACTTTATAAAACTATGCAAGTTGGGCACCTATTGTAAAAAAATGATGATGCACGGTTCTAATGTATATACTTAGATTTATCTTTCCACGAAATGATGTATCTTCTGCTTTTATAAACTAGGCTTGGTATTTAGCATATTCAAAACACCTGACCGATTTTAATCTGGAAAGGCATTTAAAAAATAATATCACGTTTTTTTGTTGTTTTTTCAATCTTATTCGCCACATACCTTATAACAATAGTTACTGTATTGCAAAATTATGTATTGTTTTATTGTTAAATTACGATATCCTTCATATTTACTAAAGAATAATAGTTGTGGAATGTAAAAATGAAATCTATATATTTATTATTTGTCTGCCAATTTAATTGTACAATTATATTTGCTTCATATCACAATAAGAAGGTTACTGTTATTGAGCGCAAGGAACGACTTCCAAGAAGCTTCATTTGCAGCTGATTTTTCTACCAGTATAAACATAATAAATATGGGATAATCAATTAATCTGCTAGGTTTTCTGTGTGTTGTATCAGTAACATTCAAAATAAGGTGTGATCAACCTTATTTAGGCCAGTTCAACGTACTTAACATACAAAACCATGATTCGGAATATTTTGATGAATGAAACAGAGTAATGTGAGCAAAAAAGACCAAATGTATAAAAATCTTGGTACACCGAAATCTATTTATTTGACAAATTGAAACTTAGCAAATTAATATATATAATAACAAATGGTAAGTTTAGCAAAACAATCATTTGCTATATGGAGTTAATGACGTATACACAAGAACAATGTCAATAAACGCAAAATTTTTCATGGTTCAAGTTCAACTATAAAAAATAGAAACTGATATGATAATTAAAAAGGAGAACAATTCCGTACGACAACTATCCACGGCTATTGATGAAATTGTTTCCGTAAAAAAAAAACCCCACCTGAAAGCATACCAGGGATACACTGAAAGGGATTCAATATGACGTCTTCTGATCTCATCAATTCTGGTTAACTTTTTTAGTGAAAATTTAAAGTTAAACTAAAATCAATTACTTATAAGTAAATGACAATTCTAACGCGCCGTTCTCAGTATTTAAACATAAAAAAATACATATAATATTGCAGTGATTCGTCTGAAAAACTACTCTTATGATAAAAAATGACATCATGCAATACGTAAAATGTTTTTACAGTGAACACAGCTTAGGAAGCTTGTTTACAGAGTTTGGGAACATTACTCAATATTATAATAAACTGTCAAATATTACCAAGATATTTCAATCCAGTAATTCCCAGATACATCTGAAAGCTGCATAACGAGCTATACATGTGAACATAGATAGCATTAACATTGCAGTAAATTCCTAAGAATGATGAACTTTTTTGAACATTTAATGTTTATGATGGGTTTGTATTCAAGTTACAAATATGATAGATAACAAAAGATATCATTTGTGCAAAATATTATTATCAGTTTTTTTTATGATACATGGTAATTGTAAAATATCTTAGAAGTTGAACTGAACATATTCTTTTTAAGTTAGGCAAACGAAAAAAATATACTGAATGTTTCTAAACCAACTTGTTTAATTAAGGCCTGTGTAAAGTCTGGCTCAAGCTTTGCTGTCCATAAAAAAATCACGATTATTTTTTTTTATTTGTGTAAATATTTGTTTCAAACAGCGACTTTCTTAAAAAAAATAAAATTACAACACGATTCACGTACCTCGTGTTATCCCGAAAATGCATGTACGAAGCATTCTAAAATTCTCTACGGGAAATTAATTTTGCAATGGTCTCCTATGTTTTTACCGGATGTTTTGTTTGGGAGAATGTATTTACCTCATCAAAGTTCACGCGACGTTACGCATAGTAATCAAAGGGAAATAACTCATATGAAAGACGCGGACTTTGACTTGAAACCAGCTATAAACTACGTTTTGTGGCAAATAAAATAAAAATAAACATCAGATGTATGTAAAG